CTCGCCGTGTCTGCCGATTCGCTTACATATTGACCGATTATCGGCGCAACCCTGGATACAGAGCGTATATCGAATAGCGATACATTGGGGAGACATTGCGCCGTAAGCATTTTTCCTGTCGATCGCTTATGGCGTCCCGTTGAAATCATCGGACAAGTCGAGACCTCCGCAGACAGCAGACAGCAGCCGCTGCTCCTCCGCCGCTGCTTTGTGCGTCCTTTGTGCCCCGCGCGAGTGTCTCTTTCGTTCTCTGTTTTTCTTCCGCGGAACTACGAAAATCGGAATCTCCGTGCGACAATTTTAAAGAGGATCCTCCGGCTCGACGCGGCGCATTTTTTATTCGGTTTAACGACGGAAAATCACACCGATCGGCGGGACGCGGCCGGAATATCAAAATTACGACTCGCGCCGCCGTGGAAATTAAAGATCTAAAAGAAGACGAAGAAGACCCGACATCGGGTCGCCGAAGGGAATCTTGAAATACGAGCCGTTGAGAGCATCGCGCTTAATCCTGAATTACGGCAGTTTTGCAAGATGAAGAGATACGATCGCGAAAATGCGCGGCAACGGAAACGAGAGGATTACGAACGATCCCGGATGGATCCGGGAGAAATGGCCGTTGCTGCGCGCGCACGTGTCAACAGAAGCCAATGTGACAGTTCACCGTGTATATAATATTGGCGTATAATTATTATTCTTATCTGATAGATATAATACAATTAAGATGATTATATTCTTCCGTTCAAGTCGTAACATCGTCTCATACACACACACACACACACACACACACACACACACACACACGTGTGTATGTATATATATATTTATTTATTTATATATATATATATATATACATATTCACATTGTCATAACCGCGCGATTGTCGTGCGCGTAAACTCGGTAGCAGCGGCTCGCAATCTCGTAACCATTCAATGTGTGCTTCTAATTTTATTAGAATTTATCGCAGAACCTTATCACAGAAAAGTGTGTGAAAATCGTTCTGCAACTTAGTGAGTTATAGATTTACAGCGGTTGCTGGATCGAATTAGAAAAGGCTCGATCGGATCGGAGATCAATCCTTCGAGAATAAGCAATTTACGAAGTACCGACAGCAACACACGTTTGACGTGTTGTTCACTCGTATTCGTGCTCGTCATGAATGACTCTAAATAAAAAATGGTAAAGCAACAACAGGAAATCCAACGAAATGACTCGATTTTACTTTTAATTGACTGAGAGGCGATCGAATATACAGATAGACGATGTGCTGCCACAAGATCAATCGCAACGAGCTGTTTCGATCGAGCGATACAATGTAAAAACAATACTTGGTTAGAGCGAAGCGCAGTCCGGCTAAAGCGAAAGATACACAGGGCCATTATCTCCTTTGACTTGTCATTGTCTTGACTTGTGTCATTATGCAAACGCTACCTAACGCTACGAGAACAATCGTTCGAGGCGCAACGCGACGGAGACACCGCTGTAGGTGTTATCGCATTCGAAATTCGAGCTATCGGATTTTCGCGTCATATCCTGTTTACGATTATTCGTATCTCGTCAAATCATTTTGTTACGGCCTCGTTATACGTTCATTTTATCGCTCGTACTTCTTCAGCGTATGCAGCGCGACAACAAGTCTGGCGTGTATTCGATAAAACGACTGAGCGCACTCACTATTCCCGCAGATGGTATTCGAGCGTGTCGCACGACTCGCGCGCACCATGAAATCACTCGAGCGTGTGTGACAATGTAGATTAGACAATCCCGACGATGAAAGAGACGACGGAATTCGCTCACGTTGGGCATCCTGATGGAATGTCCCGACGAAACGCGACGGCGCGTGCAGTCACCGTGGCATCGGCAATTTCTTCATCGGCCACGACGGCCAATCAACGCACGCACGCACGCACGCACGCACGCACAACTCGTGACATTTCGATCATCGTCGCAGATGACGGCAACTTGATTCACCATATACAAGAGCGCAGAAAATTTTAATGCCATTCGCCATTTCAGTGGCAAGTAAGAGAGGAACGTCGAGACAAGAGACGTGATGACAACGAGACACATCGTCGAACATTCTTTGTTCATTGCTGAAGCGAAAAGAAAATCGAGAGAGAGAGAGAGAGAGAGAGAGAGAGAGAGAGAGAGAGAGAGAGAGAGAGAGAGAGAGAGAGAGAGAGAGAGAGAGAGAGAGAGAGAGAGAGAGAGAGAGAGAGAGAGAGAGTGAGAGACAAAAGGGAAAGAGAATAAGACACGCGCCGCGCAATTTTGCGATTTTGCGCAATATCACGCACGAGATCGCCGGTGGAATTTCAACTGCTGTTATATAGAACCATAAAATCCAAGGTCGATATTCTGCTTCGGGATCATCTCGCGGGCATCCTGGTATGGCAGACGGCGTATAAAAGATGAAGGGAGGATCTGGTCTTTCTAGCTTCTAAAGTTACGACCGTTGGCAGTTTAAAAGCTCGTTGAATCGCGCGGGAAAAGAAGTCGG